CTCTCTCTCTCTCTCTCTCTCTCTCTCTCTCTCTCTCTCTCTCTCTCTCTCTCTCTCTCTCTCTCTCTCTCTCTCTCTCCCCTTCTCTCTCTCTCTCTCTCTCTCTCTCTCCTCCTCTCTCTCTCTCTCTCTCTCTCTCTCCTCCTCCCTCCTCTCTCTCCTCCTCCCTCCTCTCTCTCTCTCTCTCTCTCTCTCCAGACCATATAAAAGATGTTTGTATACGGAGTACCCTAAACCTGTCTTGTAATATATTGGGTCTGCTTCAATTACCATTTTTTGAAAAAAAAAGAATTGTTTTCTGATTATCCTTTTAAGAGGTGTTAGAAAAATTAAAAACTTACGAAACAATTATGTTTAAAATAATCGTAACGTAACAGCGGGATGTAAACAGTGCCTCGTACCTTGAAGTACTTTGATAAAACTATGCCTTTTTAATTTTATTTATAAATCGCTGACCCCAGCGTTCGTAAAATCGACCTCACGGTGGTCATTCCAGTCGCTGTGGTCAACGGCTTCCGGAGCGTTAAATCCAAATATAGCCATAAATATCATGATGGTTTTCAGATACAAGACCTAACCGTTTTTGATAAATTTCTATTTTTCTTTTCCTTTTTAATTCATTTATTTTCCAGTGCCTCGTTAGCGTTGAACTCTCGTAATAAAGAAAACTAAATTAAAAATAAAAAAATGAGGTAAATGGACTTTCATTCATAATTAAATAAACACATTTTTCATCTTTTACTAAAGCGTGGAAATCTGTTAGCATCTTTGGGAAGTGAAGGTGACGGGACGCTGCGCTGTTTACCTTATATCACCAAGTGTTGACAGCCATACTAAGCCCAGATATAGATGATAGAAATGCGTATATTATTGATTTTAAAGGTTTACACTTTCTTACCTTTTAGTAAATATTCTTCTCCCGTAATTAAATAAGTATCACAGACGAAAGAGGATCTGTTTGCCGTCACGTAATTGTCACCTTTCTCAAGACTGCCAGACACATCCTAAAATTAAGGGCAATAAATGTTTATTTTCAAATAAGCTACTACAGATCCTGTGGACATAGATAGATTGCAAAGGAAAAGAAAAGTATTTCCTGGAATATTTTTCACTAAATACCGTACCCAAAACCATGAGAAAGTTACGAGCTAGGATATTTAACCGTTTACGAATGAAATTCACCAGCCTCCGTCTTAACTGGACGACTCATATCATTTAATTCTTTTAACGAAGACTTTCTTTAAATATATGTTCCATATTGTGTATGGCGTTTTATGACAAAGACTTACTTTGAATATATGTTGTATATGTACAGGGTATTTGGCGGCAGGTCGGTACGAAACCGAAGGCTTGATGACGTCACGGCTCTCAGCGGATTTCATCACCTTTGCCTTGATCACTAAAATAGCACAGAGAAGTAAACATTACGATAGGGGGCAGTACAGCTTATCACCTTTGCCTTGATCACTGAAACAGCACAGAGAAGTAAACATTACGATAGGGGGCATCATCAGCTCTTTACCTTTCAGAGTAACTCTCGTACTGCCAAACTATACGTCATCTATATAAGATGGCTGTAGTTTTCTATATGAAGATATAATTAACCTTCAACCTTTCAGCAGACTTTTCAGTCGAAATTTTCTGTTACGACCAAAATTTTGTTTTCCGAAGACAAAAGCATCCGACCAGAGAAGAATTTTCTTATACAATGAATGTTACTGGTAAGAAATGAGTGACGTTAAAGTCTATACATGGATTTTGTTGTTGCCATTGCTTCTGTCAGACTCTAGGATTCAGTTGTCCTAGCCATTTGTTTAAAAAAATCTTTTTTTCTACTCCCTTGATACATTTTGTCTTATAACCGTTCCTTAACACACTTACTAAGTCCAGAAAAACGTTTTAAATAGATCATAAAAACACGAAAACCCCAGTGTCTAAGATGGCCAAGTCAAAGTTTCCCATACCGAGGAAAGTTAACCGTACAACTGCGAGCTGAATTTTCTATTCTTGCTCTTACTTATATTAAGTGTATACTCACCAAAATGATTGTGTCCAAGGCAGTCGAATGACTCTCTTGTATCTGGTCGTCTACAAACACATCCATGTTTTAGCTTCTGGAACCTGGAAACAAGTGATCTTAAATTAAGAGACAAATAAACCAATAAACTGTCCTCACAAGCCCAGCGTTCTCTATTAATCCCAGTCTGAAAGAGTGACACCTCAATAGTCTGCTGGGGTTTTTACATACGAAAAAAAGAGTCTCCTCAACGGAGCAGCTCGTTACCCCCCCCCCCCCCCCAATCCCTACCCCACCACCCTACCGCCTCCATGGTGCAATTTTTATTATATAGTTGCTGGAAATAATAGATTATTACAAACTTTTGAAAAGATGACAGATTTCTTGGAATAAACGACCATTCTCCATGCAAAACAATTAATAACAAGTCCATTTCAACATACAAACTTCGTTCATGGTCCTACGTGTTATCCTCCTTCATTTAACAAATCAACATATACTGTACTCATAGAAACAAATACAATTAACTAAATCATCAACAACATTAACATTTTTATTATTGTTGTTGTTGTTATTATTATAATTTGCCTCAATGAAAAACAGATGTACTAATGGTTTCATGATAGGTTTTTTATGAGTCAATCAGCGTTGCACTTCAAGGAGATGCTGTTTTGTGGACAAGTCATCCAAATTAATTCGCGTAAGAAAGTAAACTATATAGCTAGTCATTGACCGCCGTTATTGAAGGCACGAAACAAAGATTATAACACGCAACAAAGTGTTGACTTATACTCTGATTTAAATTGCCAGTAATGAGGAATTCACCTCAGTCAGTGATCATATTTATGTTGATGTGTTCACTGATTTGACCGACTGTCCAGGAAATGATTAGCCCTAAGGACAGTAATTAGTACACTGGCCGATGCATAATTGATATATAGTAATGAAAACGTCATAGCTATCGAGTGATGAACATCGCTGATAAAATTCTTCACTGAATTAATTTTAAGAACTTAATTTTTCATTTTTCGCATGTGCGCGCGTCTCATAGCGTAGGGTTTGCAAAATAATCAAATTAGAAAAACCTATGAATTAAAAGCTCCCCCCCCCCAAAAAAAAAAAAATCTTGAAGATATTTGGTCACACTGCTCTACGAAAAAAAAGGGTGTAGAAGGGACGACAGGTTAACGTCCCCTCTGATATGAGGTCAAGATTATCCAGCTATGTGATGTGTAATTATTTCCAACTATCATGAATGACTCGTGCTCGTTAGCCCTTGCCTCCTCATCCTAGGCCCCATTCAGAATAAGGTACTGACTAGTCCGAAGGTCAAATATGTCCGGCCCACTTGAATACTTCCCCATGGGATATCTATTCAGTGTCTGTTAGCGGATTAGACGGCAAGCTTTGTAGTGGGTCGCCATATTTGATCCTCTGACTAGGTAGTCCCCTGTTCTGAATGGCACCACTGGAATCCTGAACACGCTAAGTATCCTAGGCGTGTTAATGTGGACCTCTAGCCCACAGTCACGCTGTCTGGTGTTGTGGTTTTTATTTTATTTTTTAATTCTATGACAAATAAGAGAAGCAGTACCCGAAATAAATATATCATTAACCTGTATATTATTATATTATTATTACCCCGAGGTTCCTGTTGGTTGGATATCTGCTGGTTAAGAAAATTAAGAAAGCCTGGAAATGTCCAATACCCTGTCTAAGATTGAAAAATAAAGAAAGCAATATTTATGTTCTCGACTATTAACTATTAACTGTTATATACAGTACTTGCATTTCCAGTTTAAAATAAAAAAGGGGTTTATCATTTTTCAATGCAGATACGAACAGACATAAACTACCTCTTTCGTGTTGCTTCAAAAAATAAAAGGCTAATGGTATTTTATATTACACTCCTTTTTGAAATGAGTTTTACTTAGCCTTCTATTAGTGGATTCCTGTTCTGTGCTGTTTGCTTAATACGAGTACATATGCACAAGTGTAGAAAAGGAAACTCACGACTAAAATTCTACATTTTGTTTTTAGAAAATACACAGGGAGGACGAGAGAGAGAAGGGGAGAGACTGCATTACTGGTATACATATACCTTTGACACAAATGTCCATTTAATCTATATTTTATACGAATGTCCATTTAATTTATATTTTATACGAATTAATTCATACTTAAATTAAGGATGTACAAATATTTGCTAAAGTCCGCAGTGCTCAAATAATCTTTTCGTAGGGACAAAATTTCCATGGAAATAAATATACGTGGGACACTCTAAGTAAGAAAGGGACAGAGAGTGACAGAAAAGACTGTGTGTTTAGTGTGTGCGTGTGCGTGTGCGCTCGAGAGAAAATGTTGCAGTGTGGAGTGAACTACTTTACAAATGGACCCGACGATACAATGACATTTTTGTTTATAACTTCGATCGTTAACTGACTTTTCAAATCTTTACATTTATAAGCTGTTACTAAGACTTGAATTAAATAGTATTTAGTCCAGTTAGGTTCTCTCTTGTTTTCTGTTCTATAAATCGATTATAATGATTAACGTATTAATCAATACTATCGTTCACTCTCTCCGCACGTTGTTGTAATAAGTCACCACACCAAACAAGGGGCGTGTTCTTCAAAAAGATGAACAATCATGATAAGACTATTCACTCTTATTTGTAAGCCCTTTAGTAATCTTACCCCGGAAGACATATCAATGAAGCAGTAGAAATATAACCAAACTTTTGTCCCTTACCGTCAAATGGACCATCATGATTGAAGTAATTATTAGCACGTTAGATAAGTGGTACATCGATGAAGTAAAGATAGCAGCCACAGTTCACGGCTAACAAGACGTCCCCATATATAAGTGAAAGACGTATCATTGTATATAATCTACTATAAGTGGACATCATGTCATAATTAAGAGAAGGACATCACAATGACGGAATAGGAAACACTTTGTACGTCATCGTTATCATCTGTTGTAGTCGTCTAAAGTATAAGTCAACTGTTGTGTCAAGTTAGTGAAGTACATAGCGTCTCTGTGTTCTTACTTCGGGGTAATGAAAGTCTTAATTTCGTCATTGTGCCCCTCATAATATGTTTAATCTAGGATAGGAGATAAAATCTATATTCTGGGTCCTACTGGTACGTTTAATGATCCAGGTAGAAAAGTGAACATCCTTCAGCAAAGACATCAAAAACATGAATTAGTTCATTTCTCAGTCTGATGAAGATTTAGTAGCTACAGTCAATGTTTTCACCGGCGATTAAGGTTTTTAGACAGGACATCTAAAAATTGCTCTTCACAAACTGAAATTTGGTGGTTCACCACTAAGGGCTAACCACAAACCTCAATTACATCAGCCAAAGTTCAAGAATCCTTCCATAATAACCGTCTGTTGTGTCGCGCACAGATAAAACGAAACTAATCGAACAGAAAAGCGATGATATATGCCGCAAACGACCCAAACCAAGCTATTTTTAAAACTTGATATTCTCAATTCAAACATGGAAATTCCAGCTACATCACTTAAAGTTAAAAATATTTTCTATTGACAATATGTCAGTGTATTAGTGTGGTAAGTGTCGTTTATACACCCTGTAACTACACATATATGTTTCAGAAAAGACAGGGAGGCGCTTGTTGACGTGCTTTATCACAACTTTATCAACCATTCGCTTCCTATAAACATACATACACCCTATCTCTCCTAGCGCCTTCTTAGGAAGCCTGTATTTATGAAACTTTTAACTGCTGGATAAAAAGTAAAAAACCGCGCTGTTCTTCATTGCGTTATTGTAACAGATATGAGCCTAGGTTTAAAAAACCTCTGAACATTTATTATGTTACCCAACACCAAACCGGCCAGGGGACCGGGGACGGCCTTAGAATTGAATTAAAAAACGCGGAATTCCGCATTTCCGCGGAAAAAACTCATCAGTGTTGTAAGCATTGTCCATTGTTACTGTCGCGAGAAGCGCACTGTATGAAAACAGAACGGTTAAATAAAGCACCGGAAACCAGCTATTTCTTATGTTTCATAGACATAATAATGTTTATCTAACTGTTTACGGTTAAGGCTCTGCTGATTACATCTTGTATTTGTATTTGATCATACCCGGGTGTAGGGCGATTGTCAATAAACTTCTGTATCTGTATCATACGCGTTCTACTCTAATTTTTCAAACAAAAGAGAATAACCACATTTTGAAGTGAGAGGGTGTAGTTTGTCTCGTCTCGTGAGCTCATCACCCCGACTCCAAAGCTCAGAACAAATTCACGGTATCTCATCTTACGTTGTAAAATTACTTGAACTTCCTAAGCTGGAGAGGGGGGGGGAGTGAGGACGTGTCCCCTGTCCCCCTCCCCCCCCAAATGTACTGAGTCTGTACTAGGAGCTGGAAAGGGGGTGAGGACGTGCTCCCTGT